AAACTATTAATCATAAATAGTTAATTTAATATTCAAAATCCACTGATTAAACAACTGACCAATGTCACCAGGCTTTAGCTAATAGTGTCAAGGTTCAGAGTATTTCCCTGTACAATCCATGGGAAATAAAATACACTATTTAGCCACAAAGTGAAAGCAGAAATAAACAACCTTAGACTATATTCAATAATAAAATTGTTACACAACCATCAAAACAGCAGGCTGAGACTTGGATAAAGTAAAGTCCCACTTCTCTTCAAACATCTGGTTGTGCTGTCGTGTCCCTGGATTATCATTCAGCGTGGGGCTTCTTTACTCACACGCAAACAGTTAAAACATAATTATAGTTAAAGTCATTTTAAATCACAAAAAGAAAATGTGACATTGCAGAAAGTCCAGCAAGTATGCATTTATTTCTACAAGACAAAATACAGCTAGAAAAAAAAGTTTGGTCCTGTAAAAGATTCTTTCTCACAAAAATGAAAACAGCTGTTGAAACGTGGGAAGCAGAGAAGTGCATGTGGCATATTTAAAACTCTGCCTTTCCTTAAACAGCATTTAAGAGTAGTTTAGAGGCTCTGAACATTCTGGGATTCGGGGCTAATTAGTCCCATCAACACATAAACCGAGCTGATTGCTGTTTCTGTGAACGAACCCACTGTCAGAGTAAGGAAGCCTCTGAGGGTCATGCCTGCTGTTCTGACCAGGTGGCAGTTCCCTGGGAGTCTCAGTGCCTGAGTAAGGAAGCCTCTGAGGGTCAGTTCTTCCGCACACTGACAAGGATGCTGCAGCTGTGTAAAGTCACCAGCGCCCTGTTCATCAGTAACGCCCGCTCAGCTTGCAGCGACGAGCTCATCCAGCAGGAGGCGGTGACGCTCTGCATCAACGTGTCCAAGCAGCAGCCGTTTCCGGCCTCCAGCATCAAGAAACTGCAGATCCCCGTCTACGACGACCCCAACGAGGACTTGTACAGCCACTTCGACCGCTGCGCCGACGCCATCCAGAAGGAGGCGGACCGCGGAGGACGCAGCGTCGTTTACTGCAAGAACGGCCGGAGCCGCTCCGCCGCCGTCTGCATCGCCTACCTGATGAAGCACTGCAAGCTGCCGCTGACGGACGCCGTACAGGTGGGGGCAGGCCCGCTGTTTATTTCACTGCTTTACTTTGCAGAGCTTCCTGCTTCTGATAAAGACACGGCTTGTTCTTGACGCGCCCCGTGTTCAGGCGGTTGTTTCCTGCACATGAAGCCTGGGCCAAAGCCGGGGTCAAGTGTTGAGCTGCAAAAATAACTAAAGTCTGACCTTCACTCTTCTGAACGTCTGTTTCGATGTGCTCATATAAATACCCTAAAACATATGTAGTGTTTATGCAATGTAACATTTAGTTGGCATTCCACATAAAGAATATTATTCCCTGGAGTGTAGGCATCACTTGATTTGCATCAGTATATGAGAAGGTCAGTCTTTCATCCTTAAATTACTTTATGAACAAATGATTTTAATCCTAACCGAATTATTATCCCACAGGTGGAAATAAAATGTTATTACCACACATGTACAATATCTTAAAAAAACATTATTACCCCTGAGTTTGTACCAGTTTAATAACTAAAACCTGCTTCTGTGTGTTTTCTCCTTCCAGAAGGTGAAGTCTACTCGTCACGTGATCGACCCGAACCCCGGCTTCATGTCTCAGCTGCAGAGATATGAACAGGAGCTGAAGCAGAGATGAGGGGAGGCCAACTGATGAAGTTCTGATCCCCAGGTCCTCCTGTGAAAGCCAGCAGGTGAGCAGTTTCCTCTCTGTACACCTTCACAACGATCAGAGGCTGTTTCGCTCCGTGTCTCCAGGATCAGAACCGCAGCTCGTTTGGATTTGTTCTTTTTGAACAGGAGCACTGAAGTTGGGGCTTACACGTCCTCACTCACCTCTAGGTTCAGGAGGAAAATACCCCTGAGCTTCTTTCAATGTGATGATTTTGATAAGAAGAGTATTAGAAAGTGTTTCCAAAATAAAACATAAAGCAGACACTTTATTCTGAAGGGAAGTTAGTGAGAAGCTGAAGCGAAGATTCACAAAAACAGTGAGAAACAAACTGAGGACAAACTATAAACTAATTACACGATTGAAGTGGACCAGGCTAAACATAGAAATAGAAAATGAAAGACTGAGAACAGACACTAATATGCAGTAATACAGAGGGTATAATACTGTGTTTTTGGTAGTAGAAGTAAAGTGCAGAGGCTTTCACAGATAAGCTGGAAAAAAAACTTGGTTTTAGGTCGAAGACGTTTCACCTTTCATCCAAGAGGCTTCATCAGTTCTGCCCGACTCTGACTCAAAGCCAGTCAGGCAGATGAAGCCTCCTGGATGAGAGGTGAAACGTCTTCGACCTAAAAACCGAGTCCAGTTGAGTTTTTTCAGCTTACTATGACCCGGATGACTGAGAATCTGCACAAACATTTCACACATAAACCAGTGAGTGGTTTTTCACCGATCAATCATCTTCAAAGTGCAGTAAAGAGAAAAAACTAACATTTAGTTATTGATTAATTCAATTATTAAATAAAAAGCAGAACAGACACAAACATTTACTGATAACAGAGATAAAATAAGTCTTATGTCGTAAGTCAGATGTTGCTGCTGTTTAGACCCAGTGACCAGAAGCATCCAGTCAAACTTAGTAAGACGTCGAAAGTGGGAGGAGCTTTTAGTTTTGACATCCTCTGCAAAAGGCCTTAATATGTCACAAACTGACATTTAACACATTACACTCTCTACAGAGGTGATATTTACTGTAGACTCACAATATCTGATCGCACTACATGTTCAAGTTTGCAAGTCATCGTCACAGAAGCAACTGAACAAAGCTTTACAGATTAAAAGCTGTTAAAACAGGCTTTAAAATGACTTTTAAAACAATGACTTTTCTGCTGTTTCTTCTTAAACAACATTTATGTCTAAACTACAGACTTGAATTTATGCGTTTTACTGTTTTTCTCCGGACTCGTAGTCCTCTTCGTGTTTCTGTACCAGTATCATGGTTGCGGTTCCACCTTCTGCCTCCACATGGAAACGTTTCCATGGAAAATGATGCAGCGTATTAAACACATAGCGAGTCAGGAAAATGGACCTGAACCAGGAGAAGCCTCGTGAAGCACGACCCCTCGGCTGAGGCTCACATGCATCCTGGCAGCATAAACAGGAAGTAACCCGACTCGTTCACTATTAGCGAAACACAGGAAGTCGGGCCGAGATAATGTTACATTGGATGTGTTCAGTCTCACGTCGACAGATTAGACAAAGAGGTTTGATCCAGAAAATACAAGAAGGGAGCATTTAAGATGCAACACACACACACAC